CAGGAATGAAAAATTTATTTCAAATTTATTTGTTGCTCAAAAATATTTTATTTTCAATAAGATATATAAATTCTCAAATTAATAATAAATTGCTATATTTCTTACACTTTACGATAAATTTGCGATGAAGGAAATATTTATAAAATTCTTTAAACTTCTCTTTCGCGTTATTAATTGAAAAAAAGAATTGCAAATAAAATTAAACTTGAATAAAAGATTAATTCTTAATCCACGTTCAATCTATAAGATCTACGACATATAATGTTTCTTTGATAAACACCATACATGTATTAAATAAAATTATTTCAAATTCCCAAGAATCATAAAAAATTTTCAAATTAATGAATATTCCGAACAAATAATTTTCGAGCAACAAATTTCAAACAATTTCATCTCGTTAGACATTTTAAATCGCAAGCGTTATTTTTCATTCCTCTTTTCCTTTCGGCTTCGAATATACGAAATATACGAGAAACAGTACGAAGAGAAAAAGAAAAAGAAAAAAAAAAAAAAATTGAAGCGCAGAGACCAAAGAGAGGAGACGAAGGACAAAAGGTAGGCGCGGATGAAGTAGCGGCGTGCGTATGGTAGAAAAAAAGAAAAAAAGAAAAGGAAAATAAAGAAAAAAGGAAAAGAAAAGGAAGAAAAAAAATATTCACGCAAGAGAGGGTCGAGCGATCAGCGATTCCACCCCTCTGGCGACACAGCGTGGAACGTTTACCCTCCGCCCGGTCGTGCTACCACCCTCGTGTCGATGTCACGAGTAACGAGTGTCGTGGTGCAGACTGCATTAGTACCGGGGGATGCTAAAAAATAACGACGGAAGAGGGAGAGGAGTGGGTGCATGGAGTGGTGGTGGATCTGATCGATATCACCTGATACATTGTTTTCGGATAAGAAACGAATAGCTTCGAGCATATCGATGAAATAGTGCGTGTACCTTTGTCTATGACACATTTGATATATCGGGGAACATATGGTTGTTTAAACAAGAGGAATGCATAAATGATAAATTCTCCAGTTTTTTGTCTTACGTGCGCCCGTAACGTGAACATTTTATCGAGTTTGTATAGAGTTTGGATAGAGAGAGTGGTTTTGAGTATACTATATTCTGTTACGAAGTTTTTCTTTCTTTTTTTTCTATCAAGATTTTATAAAGATAGATTCTTGTAAATGTTACGCGATGAAATGATTAATAAGAATCGGTTTGATGAAATTGATGTTTATGGAATAGTAGCAGTAATCGGTGTAATGGATGAATTGTTCTGTAACGTGACAGTGGTGGGTGAGTGTCGAGCGTGATGGATAGAGTTGTCCGGCTACCGATCGGAATTATTAGTATTTCCCATGTGTGACACGGCAGTGATCCATTTCTACTTTGTTTATTTTTTGTTTGATATTTTTAAGATTTGTGCAAATATATGGATTGTAGAGTAATTTGTATTTTTTTTTTTTTTCTTTTTGATCAATATCGAAGTTAAAATAAATTTTGTGTTTAATGTTATCTAATGTTTTAATAAATTTGTTTCATAATTTATATAAATAGCGTCGTGATGCAATTGAAGATATTATTTTTTTATACCTAAGATATTTGATATATCTTATTCCCATTTGAATAGAAAACATTCATAGGTATAAATTACGTGAATCAACTTGTGTATATTATTAAATTATCTTGTTACAAATTACTCGCTATACATTCATTTTGCATTCGTTGCTGTAATTCAGATGTATCGTTCATTATGGTAAATTAAACACGATAGGTTTTCTACGATACACAAAATTTATTTTATACCAAAATTATTGATTTTGGAATCCGTATTAATTCAACAGTTAATTCTCCCTAATAGGTATTATTAGTATTATTACCCTTTAAAATCTTACAATTAAATTTTGTTTTAACATCCTCTGCGTAAGCAATTTATATTACCTCAAACAGTAAATACTCGAATTATTGATTGAATCATCCCCAATGAATAAGATACTCATTGTATTATATCTATTATTATCCCATACCTATTGTTGATTGTTCACAGAATTTATAGCATTTTATATCTGTTTGATAAAATTAAAAATTAAAAGATAAAAAAAAATATGCCAATATTATTTGACTTTGAATTTAAAATATTATCATAGATATTCAAAATTTTTTATATCATCACAACAGAACTCCTACAAAATTTCTCTCCTTTTATTAAAGTTAACTAAAAAATACACATCGAACGAACACAAAAAAAAGACAACATTCTGAAAATTAAAGCAAAAAAAAAAAAAGAAAAGAACAACTGAAATCCCCTTACGAAACTTTCCAATTCCGCAACATTAGTAAACACGACCAATGGCGACACATCCTCGTCGATCTTCTCTCGCAAAGCTTGAATTGCTTGATCAAACACAGCCCAAGCCTGTCCTAACGTTCGGCAATCTTGGAAAACAAAATTTCCTCGGCTGGCGTGTAACGGACACACCGGCAACGGTTGTGTGTCGTCCAATAAGCGGACAGCGCTCGGTTTGCGCGTCGGCCTCGATTATCGATTATGAAATTGCACCGGATAAAGCAAACGAGAGGCTCTGCTCCACCTCTTTCTCTCTCTTTCTCTCTCTCTCTCTCTCTCTCTCTACCACTCTATGTCGAGCTCGCTACTCGATAGGGTTTGTGTTGGTCAGACGTGTACAGGTGCGCCGATTGACTTTCCGATTATCGGATGACATAGGAGAGGGAGGGGGAGAAAAGACAGAGAGAGAGAGAGAGAGAGGGGGACACAAACGCGTGCATACACGAGAATACACGCGAGGCCCCTGTCTCTCTCGCACCCTGCGACTTAAACACTGCCCTTTGTCACGGCATCCCCTCGCACGAGCCGTTCCGCCGTGGAACGTTTTACACGTGCACAAGTGTAGAACGTGTACTATAGAAGGCAAGGCAACTTGCCATGCTCTCTGTCATACCGTGTATCCATCCGCTTTATCCACCTATGACGCTTCATCTAGCTCTCTCCGTGAGGGTGGTTGGCATCGTTACTCTCCCCCCCTCGTGTTTCTCTCTTTGTTCATTATTGGATCGGATGCTTTGCGCATCTTCTTCTCGCTTAATAACGTTTTGGGTTGGTTTAGTCTCTTTATTGGGACGATCGTGGGATGGACAAGTCGCCGTTTGTGGTAAATTCTGTTATTAGAGGGGGATTGATTGGCCATCCTGTTATATTAGCCAGTCGTTGTTCTATGATTACTACAAGAATCAGGTGAACCAGGATGTGGACCAAGGTCTCCGTTTATTGATCGAATATTCGGGGCTTGATTTAAAGTTTAATCCGATGTTAGCTCGATGTATTTTTATTTTTTTATTTAATTTCTTTTTGTAGTAAAATTTTGTATGATTGAGAATCGTCGAGTTTTTTATGCTTGGGATTTTAATAAATATTAAACTGAGAAACAAACTAATTGTTTGTGAATTTATTTATTCTTTTTTCATTCTCCGAGGTTAAAAGTAACATGGGATGGTAAGCAATAAGTTTTTTTTTTAAATATGTTTGTATAAAAACCAAATAAAGATAAAAAGATAATTATCTAGAAGAGGAAATTGCCGATGAAAGAAAGTTTTTTTTAATATCTCGGATACTCAAACTGAGCGATAACATGTATAGGAAAAAATTGTTTAGTTATCATGACATAACAATTTATTTCACTTATTAAAATCAGTAAAGAGTTTCCTTTTTTATATAATTACCGATAAATTTGCGAAATATTAGTTTGTTTCTTTTTTTTGTCGATAAATGTATAATGAAATTTTTTTTCTTGCCTGCATAAAATAAAAATACCTGCACGCAGTGAAAATATGGCATACTTGATACGTTTAAAACAACGATAACGGTAACTTATCGCTGTAATTATTAACTAGAAAATTATGTGTTTTTAAATATTTTGTTATAAATTTGATTCAAAAAATATTTTAATATCACTTGCTTATTATATTGCAAAATATTAATTCAATAATAAAAATGTTATATGTATTTAATTTACAAAAAGGATTCACGTGCAGAATACTTATTATTATTTTTAATATAAATTTCTTTTCCTTATTTAAAATTTGTTAGAAACGATTTTAAAAAATTAGATTTTAAAAAATTGTAATTATATAGATAATTGTTAATAATAATGATAGAATACGCGAATTTTTAATGTTTTCGTTAATAATAAAATATCTTATTTTTTTTTTTTTTGCACGTTCAATACAACTTGTACTATTTCTCTCATAAAATTCTACTTTTTATTTTAATAGAAATTTTGATACTCTTCTTATATAAATGTTATATATTGTACTATTTCTCTCATAAAATTCTACTTTTTATTTTAATAGAAATTTTGATATTCTTATTATATAAATGTCTTATATAAATATCCATAAATGTTATTTGCAAGATAACTTACAGAAAAAAAAATAAATTATCAAAAGAAATATAACAAAGTTTATTAGAATAGTATAATGTCCTTATCAAAATATTTAAGAAAGATATCTGCTCACACGCTAACGAGATAAAGTTTTTCCAACCACGACTTTGATCGTTTATTCAAGTGGAAAATAAGTGTATCTTACTCGATGATAACAACGAAATTCACTAGTAAAAATCTCATCGCGATAACTATCTATAAAGAAGGGAAAACTATCTATAAAGAAATATCGATGGAATTGTTCGATATCTTCATTTTTATCGTTTTTTCCTTTTTTTTTTTTTTATTCTAAAGAAACTCGTGATTATAATATAAAGAATCGCATCTGATAAAAGTTTCGAATTGAAAAATTCCTTTTTCGGCTGTTGAAAGAATATTGGTTATAACAATGTTAGTTATAGTGAATTTAATAGAATATTGAACCATCGAAAATTGTTGAAAGTTGAAGACCTATTAATTTTTCGTTAGTTGAAGTTAAATTTATCAAATTCGAAATTTTGATGAAATTAATGAAGTTAGAATAAAATGATTGGTTTTGTTTCGTCACTCACTTGATTCGATTGGAGACTAGCAGTTCCGCTATGTTTTTTCCCAACATAGAATACAGCGTTTCCACGAAGACCAATACCTTTGGATCCGTCCTCAAACGAGCTTCGCTACGATGATCCGGCGCAGAGGGTAACCTCGTTGCGCCCCTCAGCGTCGAACACCTGATCGATGGCTCTGGTCTAGTGTCTCGATGGATTAGACTGAAACAAAATATGGAAGCTTTAGAAATAATCGATTATAAGCTTCTTAGGATCAAGTTTTATCAAAGTTAGTGAAATTATTTGAATTCAAGATTTTATGTATACTCAGCAAACACTATATAATGCAAAATTGTTCTATTTATATTACTCTTATTATTGTATTATGTTATGTTGTTACGAGTTCTTTATAAAAATTAGAAAATAATCAAATAATTTATAAAAACTTACTACTAATCACGGATTAAAGAAAATATAGTATAGTATATAATATAATATAGTAGTATTGGAATAGTAATTTAAGATAAATAAAAAATTATTGCATAATATATTTCAAATCTTGAATATAAAAAAAAAACATAAAATATCTGAAACTTTGTTTTAATTAAAAAAAATAATGCAGAGTAAAAATTTCAATAAGATGGCGATTCTTATATTAATAATTTGAAACAGAAAATAATTCCAAATTATTTTCATTTAATTAAAAAAAATATATTTATTACAATTTCATTACAATTGTTCTCTCTTACGAATTAATTAAAAACAATATAGGAATATATATATAATATCAGATAAATATTAATTTTCAATATTAATCATCATAAAATTTACCTTTTACATTGTTATAACATAATCAATTAATTGTTTCTTAAAATTTTCATTAAATCAACAAGTCAACGGCTAATTTATCAGCCTGAATAATGTAACTGTGTATGTAATATGCAAATTACTTTTATCTTTAATATTCCGGATTATTGATATTAAAATTATTAAAATCCAAAATCACCTAAAATTTCCTATTACGTTTTATATTTTTGAAATAAAATCTATAAAATTTATATGAAACCATAAATGGAAATGAATAGATTAAATGATCTAAAGTTTTGATTTCACATTTCAATCACGATTTCAATACTCATTGAAAAAATTTTTGCAAATTCATATTTTATTCTTCCGCAGATTAAATTATAAATACATTAAAATTTTTACATAAATATCATTAATTAACAGATCGTGCACTCTCACTATTATTTTACACTGTTATAAATTCAATAACATTTAATAGTTATTTATCCATATTTTTTCTATTTATTTTATTAAATTCGCCAATACCTAAAAAGTTCATCAAATCACTATATTATTCTCGATAATAATACAACACCATGCGTTTCGTATAAATTTATCGCAATTCGTTCCAATTTTGAAAAATTTCGACCGTTTAGCTCGAGGAACGAGAAATTTTCTTTTCACGTGACGAGGATAGAAAACAGCAAGAGACGAGATAATGTTCCTGAGTTGGTCATGTCGCATAAAGCGGTCGGATTGCTCCACTTGGCATGAATCGGGCGGCATTTTTACGATTACCGATAATCCGATTGTGTCTCAAAGAAACCGGAAAAAAGAGATTCGTCCTGAGAACGATGAAAGAATTCCTTCATCGAAATCGCCATTGCCGAGATCTGAATAACTGGAATCTTTTGAGGAATGCACCGTTTCGAGCCTTCGAAGTCCCTTTTCCCAGTTTTAATCCCATTGCGTGGGTAGAGATCAACATTTCTAATATATCGAGATCGGAGAGATCTTTTAAAATTTTAATATACAATCACAGTTGACAAGAATCTCTCTGAGGGATTTCACATTTCTGTTAAATCGAATGCATTTTTTCAGAGTTTCAATAGGAAATGAAAAATACGGGGATAAGATGAAAAATAATATATGGGATATAATAATAAATAATAATAAATAATATAAGATATCGAGCTTTATCACGAGATTAAAGCTTCAATCTTTATAGTTTACGTTATAATTAAGATATTAGAAATTGTAAAATTATTCATTTCTAATATTTTTCAATGAAGTTTTGTCATATAAAAAGTATAGTAAAAAAAAACAATAAACATTCAAAAAATATAACAAATTAATCATTTAAGTAATTAAGTAATAATCCCGGGTGATTTATGAAATTCATTTGTTAATTAATGTTCCACGCGATAAATTATTCCGATATATTCCAATTAAACAAATACTGCGAGATTTAATTCTTCATTCATTATTCTACCAAATATTGAATCCTCAAATGGAGATAATGATCAAAACGGATTCAAAATCTATCTAAATTTACAAATTAGAAATCAGAAATTTCTCTATTATTTCTCTCATTAGAATAAAACTTATAATAGTTTATAATCTATGCATTTTAATTTGCTAACTAGAAATCTCAATAATAATATTAAAATTTTAAGAATCTGAATAAAAAAAAATTAATATCAATTAATTATTTAACTTACAGTTTATGCAATCGTAAAAAATTGTAATAAAATAATAATATTAATTTTTTACACCGCAACACGATCTTACGGATTGTCAAAATCTTCGATCGAAAATAACATCCAATTCCACTACTACGAAAATACAAACTCTACTTATCCCCGAATCTATACTCCATACGCGAGAATTATCGTCGAACAACGTGTTTCGACGGAGGGGAATACAAGGTTTTTACATTAATCGGGATCGTTGACGATGAAATAAAACGGACGAGCGTAACAAATTTTCCGTGTCCGGCCGCGCGTAACAAATTTTCCGTGTCCGGCCGCGCGGACCACTTTAAAAATCGCAACGAACGAGCCGAGAATGGAAAACGAACTCTTTTCCCCCCTTTATCTCTCGCTCTTTCGTCAATGTTTCGAGCTTAACGTCGAAACACAAACACGCCTATTTCCGCTCGCAATTTGTCCGACAAAACTCGTCTTGATGTACGTGACCGGTGGCGTAATATCGGGCTGTTTGCCCCGTAATACCGGAGGTCCGGTTTATCGATCACTCGACTCGGCTGCAACTTCGACTGGCGAAAGGTCGATGGTCAATGATTTATCGGGCAAAGTCTCGCGACTGACGACGTGTTAATTCCACTCCGTATAATGCATCGAGCCTTTACACCCCACCCTGATGAACTGGATAACGGGTAGATACCGAGGAGATTGTAAGATGATACGTATGGTTTGTTGTTTCGGGTTGTTGGGTATAATTTTGAAGTTGTTGAAACTAGGAGGAAGTTTTTGCCCTTTGTGGAAAGTTCAGCTAGATGTAACGTGAATATTGTTGATAAATACTATAGAGAGAATTTCTTTATTGCATTTTTTTTTTTTTCTTTTTTGATTTTCCTTCTTGCTTGAAACTGATTTTCAAGCTTGAAATTTTTAATATCAGTGATGAAGCTTGTTATGTTTTATAGAAAAGGAAAAAGTTGTGCTTTTGTTTGGAATTGTTTGAAGTTTTGTTTTATTAAAAGCGTAAAGAAAATATCTTATATATATATATATATGTGTGTGTGTGTGTGTGTGTGTGTGTGTGTGAAAATTATCATTAATATAATTATAAAATAACTATAATATTTAATAATATAATTTTACATGGAATATTAATTAAATAGAAAAATATCGAGACAGAATAAATTAATTTACTAAATTAATGTACTAAATTTTACTTTAATCTAATTTAAATATTCTAAGCTTTAATCAATAAATAAAATAAGTGATCGAAATATTTTACTTAAAATTCGAGTTAAATTAATTATATTTTAAATTTATGCTGTACTCAATCTATAATAATCTTCCACAATAATTCGAAACAATTATACTTCGAATATTTAAAAAAAAAAAAAAGGAAAAAGATCTTCGCCAGTTCCGGGCCATTAGACGGAAACGCGAGAATCGTGCGGACTTGGTCGCACAGTGGACCCGAATGGAATCGAATCGCCACGGGCGAAATCTACATCCATAATCGCCGGTATGAAATTCAAATCGAATCTTTTGTGCCGCTCGGCCCCGCAGTCAGCGAACTTTCCACCAACTTTTCCCTTGAAAGGAAACGCCGTGGAAAGTATGCAGCGTACACTTCGCGGCCGGCATTCAGTCCGTCGCGAACTTCGAATATTTGAAATACTTGAGGCACTTCTTGCCCGGGAAATTATAGAACGCTCTTCCTTTGCGACGCCATCTCGCTGAATAGGTTCGATACAATCTTCCATCGAAGGCCATTACGATCTTATAAAAATAACATTATTATATCTAGCTTGAAACTCAATTTTTCAACTCGATTTTTCGAAATTTTTCTTGAAAAATTGCAGTGTAAAGGAGTCGGGAAGAAGCTTTTTTTTTTTATGAAATTTATGAAATTATCTGTGTTCTATTTACAATCTCAAGTTTATATAAAAAATCTCATTTTTATATAAACTTCTCGGGATCGAACACATTTCATATGAAATATTACAATTTATTATTTATTTATTTATATTTATTATATATATACAAATTATATTTTATTTGCTTTATTTGCTTATTAAATTGCATACTTTTTTTCGAAGTTAGTAATTCCGTAGGAATATTTTTTTGTTGTATTTTCATACCATTTACATATCTCTGTGAATATTTTTGGAATATCATTTGATATCATCTTTTTTATGCTTCTTTCGTTGTAAATTTCTTTAATACTTTCAATAATTTTGATCACCATCGCTTTCATTAGCTTTTATAATATAATATATTAGAATATATAAATTACATTGTAAATTATATCCTAATATGTTATATTCATAATATTTATAATTATTAAATGTTCGAATATCCAATAATCGATAATCAAGATTTTATATTTATAAAATTTTAATTTAAAACTTGAATATTCCTATATGAAATATACTTTTTCTATATTTTTTGAAGAGATAATACAACTAATATATTTTTTAGTAATAATATAAATTACAATTTGTTGTAAGATAATAAATAATAAAATAGATATTCTCATATGAAATAAAAAAATTTTTGTACATTTATTTTCAATATATCTTTTAATATGTTCATTACTACGTCATATGTTATGACGTATATGATCATATACTATATGTATAATCATAATGCTCTTCTCGACATTGATTATTAATTTTTATGAAATTTTATTGTTATTCAATATAATTATATATATTAAAAAAAATGATTAACTAT